AAACTTACATAAGAAGCAAAACTGTAGTAAGAACGTTACTCTGGCCACGGTAGGGCGAGTGAATGTATGTATCGCTTTTGAATGCAGAGGGCCGGTTTCAGATCTTGAATAGCTAATGACTCAGCTATGTACAGATGGCGTATGCGAAGTCCCTTTGTACGACATGGAGCACTTTGAAGCATTCATCCGGGGCTGTTCAATGTCCAGAGTTGACAAAGTGATCGAGGATACAGCTACTGGTATTCTTCTCTTCTCTTCTGGCTATCTAGCTAAGCTGGATGGTGTTCCAGAATACGTTAGCGGACTTGACGTTGCGTACGGCTGATATACTTTGCTCCACACGAACAAGTAAGCTGATAAATACACACTCAGGTGGCCAAAAGCGGTATCTTATCCTTAATGCTTGACTGGATTAACTGTCCGCTAGAGAATGTGATACATAAGCTGACTGCTTCAAATGTCTTCTTCAGACATTTAGAAAGGTGGTTTCAATTATTGGGTGGCTGATATATATACAGTTTCACAGTAAAGCCAATATTTTATAGCCAGTATTACTTTGATAAAGCTATTAGCATTAAATAGAGAAACATCAGTAAAAACAATATCGTTTTGTTTTTCATTCATTGGGAAATACAAAAGCCTTTATTATAATCAGTATTATATTGCTTTTATTGTCGACTTTTACTTCATTTTAATGCAATATAACAACAACTTAACTAACATACTGCTAAACAGAGTCACTCATAATATATTCTGCCTATTTAACGTATGAAATATGAGGAAAACTGCTTCCATATTCTACATTTAAAGTTACATCAGAAAATCATAAGGTTTCTAAAACTGATCGATTATTCTTTTTCATTAGTCAGAACTCTGTAAAGTGATCTATTTATATGTTTCTCGTTTTACTGTTGTCCTGAACCTATAATCTACTGAATCCTGTTCACAGTAAGTAATTCATAAGTATCATTCTTGGCATGTTTGTAGAGTGTTTTAGACTCTTTTTCCACACTCGTCAAGTGAACATTCAACTAACTTACTTAACACATATAGCAACAATATTCACTGTTGTAGTATTTCATACTATTCTTATCTTTATCACGTTTCCATTATCAGTAATCATTCCATATTAATTTGTTTATTAGATATATCACACAGTGAAACCGTAATATTTACTAGATGATGTTTCGAACACTATTTATTATGGGTTTGAATACCTCATTCAAACCCACAAACTCAATTAGAAACAACCTTTGTCGGTTAAAGGATCCTGTAGAGCCAATTAAACAAAAAGATCAAGTTCATCTAATGCCCTACAATGATTGTCAGGTCAAATATATAGGACACAGTAGTAGAACGGGGTCATTCAGACTAACGGAGCATAAAGACCTAGAAAAATCTAGATTAGTTTATCCAAATAAGATGAGAAATCTAGAGAATAGTTCAGCTACATAGTTCAGCACTACATGCAATTACACACAACCATAAAAAAGGATGGGATAAGATGACAATTTTTAAAATCGAATGTAACAGGTTGGAGGGAGAGATTGATAACAGAAGCTTTGTTTATCGAATCAACAGCAAATACGTGTAATAGGAATGATTCAACACCTGTCCCAGATATCTGGAGAATTCTACTACCTCTACGACAAATAGGAAAGAAAAAAGAAGACTATAAAAGTCAAGTTCTGAAGTTGTGTGGTTATAATTGATATGATTATGAACAATAAGTTGTGTTCGAAAGCTCATCATCCATTTAATAAAACTGTTTCACAGTGTTATATATCTTATAAACAAATTAATATGGAATTACTTACTACCACAGCGGCCAAGTTTGACACATATATTAATCAGTAATCATTGTTGGTAACCTTATTACTGCCTTGTTGATTTTTGCATAATCATTTTTATGTTAACACCATAATCACAGTCAACAATTTCATGACTAACGCAATTTCACCACCTAAAATACATACCATATGAGCTACCGTTGAGTTTTTATTGTTAGTTATTCTTCCACAATTGCTTCTAGTTCTACCTGATGAGATGAAGGGCGATAGTTTTGAATAAAGAGGGAGTTAAGATTCCGATAAAATGACTTTTGCCAATTTGTTACATGAGTTCAAATGCTTATCAGCAATAATATCAATGAGATGGCGTAGAAGTATACCACACATCCTAATGATAGCTTTTATTCTCTTTCTTAATGTAACAAAGTCATTTTAAGTAGCCTAGGAAACATTAAGGGGTAGCGAAAAATAAGATTAGCCAAATGCGAGAGTTAATTAACAGTAAGAGTAAAGACTCAATGATACTACACTGTCTTAATTTCCCTATTCAAAAGGTTAGACCGAAAACACTTTTAAAGTAATCAATAAGATTTGTGACAGCTAGGGAAGATCAAAGGATATTTAGCATCTAACTTTGTTTCTAACTTTTTCCTCCCTATATGACAAGAATCATGGGAATGAAACAGTTCATTTAAATCTTGTTTATATCCAAAGGTAAAATTGACACTTTGACATCTGGAAGGATTTAGCTTAAGGCGATTTGACTGGGGGCCATAAGCTAACTTTTGATAAAAAGTTATCCACTTTAGAATGATCTGATTGGGAAGTAACAGGCATGGGCACATCAAGAAGATTTACAAACTTAACGAAATTAACTTCATCAGAATGATACAAGTCATTTAAGAAGAAATAAAAACGAAAGGAAGAAAGAACAGCATCCTGACGGACACCAGTTAAGTAAGCAAAGCAATGCAAGACTTTCCTTCATATACAGTCTACTGCTTTCTGTCAGAAAAATAAGGCAGCAATCAGTAATCAACCGAGCAACCAGTCAATGTTACAGTAAGTGTATTTAACAAGAGGTCAAGGTACAGAGTAAAAATTGGATATGTAATCAATGAACGTACGCGGAATATATCTAGCACTTTTATCTAAACAATATTGGGAGGGGATCCAGAGTACTTCTACCAGTATATAAGCAAATCGTTTTGGATAACAAGAAGGTTCAAAATCGCGTAAGAGTAATTTTTCTATTATTTTCAAAAAAAGGGTGGTAATATCACTAGGTTTAAACTGAATACATTGCCCAGTAAATGATTTACCTACTCAGACAATGTCCTTCCAAGTGGTAAGTGATGCAGTGAAAATAGCAGTAAGAGAAGAGCATAGAATATCCGCACATTGCTTGAAAATAATACCCGAAACACACTATCTAGACCTAGCCTATGTGAAGAGTGCAAGAAATGCGGAGGTGGAGTCGGGCATTTATAGACATTAATCGTACTGAAACAAGAAAAATAACCCCTCTCTCGATTTGTGATGCTGAAAACCATGACAGTTGCTGGACAATATATGAAAGGCAACGTTATTTATCTTCTTCTCACCAGTAGTTTTCTTGAATAATTCAGGCATATTTGAAGAGATTTTAAGTAATAAAATTTTCTGGTTATATATTGCATTCAGTTTCAGCACTTCAGACTTGATTAAAATGTCAAGTCTCACGACAGAGCTATCTTTCCTCCCACAAAACCTTTCCTTATCTCTGGAAAGCTTCCTGAGTCAGATATCAAGACAGAATTTCAGATTACTTGTTATATTTGTGAAGGTATTAATTAGTGATTACTCAGTAAATAAGTTCCAGTTTGTTTCTCGTAAAATACGTCTAAGATTCTGCATTCTGTTCTGAGAGTAACACTTTCGTTGATTTTTCTTGAATAAGTACCAGCAAGCCCCATTGTGTTTCTTTATATATATTTTTGATCAAACGCTTATGATACAATGGTTAGGATTTAGCAGAGGAGCTAGTCAGCTGCCTCCATATATGCCCGAGTCATTTTTGTACACTAGATCCAGCACTGCATCCAGTTGAGCCTCATGACCTATTCATGTAAGCAAACTAAAATCTCCGGTTACTGCTGACAAGGAGTCATCCAGAAAGGTAGCAGTAAACACAGTGAATTCACCAACAAAGCAGGATGTAGGATTTCATGATGAGCTGACATTAGTTAGAGAACCATTGGAAAACCTGGGAGCACTGGACAGCAGTTTCGTCCTGGTTTGGGGCTCTTCAGCAATACGCAGTCACCAGGGTTCGAACCCAGGACCTTCTGGTTAGAAGGCGAGCTTGTAGACCATTAAGCCACTGGGACCCGATCCAATGGCCCATGAATTCTAACTTATGCCAAACTAGGACGAAACAGCTGTCCAGTACTCCCAGATTTTCCAATGGTTCTCTAACTAATATCAGCTCATGATGAAAATCCTGTAACCAACCAAAACCCTACAAACCAACACTTGAAAGCCGGATGTATCTGAAAGACTGCAACCAGGTGTGACACACATATTCGTACTATGAACGTAACGTATATACACATATAGGTACTTAAGGGTTCTACCGGTTCAAATAAATCTTCAGGCTTCAAAAACTTATTTAGGCTCCGATCTTTAAATTATATGCATATTTTAGCACCAAGGTATTAATAATATCCCCCTGGAATTATCTTAAACTAATATTATCAAGATAAAAATAGAATTAGTCCATCTTTAAACGTCGATCCATTTATCATTCCGTTCAGTAATTATCCGTAGGATCAAATTACCATTGATTTAAAATAATGACCTGTCAGATTTAAACATTATATCACTGACAGTCTGCCATCCAACGGGTGAATATGCTATTCAATACCTGAAAGATAAACTTATCAATCAACTGTTTTATTGTTCAACCTTAAAATACCTCATCAAATTTACATCAAACCACTTTATCCGATGCAATATAAAGACTGAATTTAACTAGGCGATAATGTTACAGTAAAACTAAGTCATATTCATTAGTGAAATCCATCAATGCAAACAAATCAGAAATCATTCATCTTTGAAACACATAAATATAACAAAACAAAAATCACTCTGTATTAAACCACTCAAGCTCATATAATTCATGACAAAAATTCTCAATAAGTATATACACATATGCATTCTCAGTGACTATCTATCTACTCAATGTTTCAACAGTTTTATGATTTCATTCTAGCATAAAATAAGCTGACAGTATTAATGGATACACATAAATATATATATATATACAGATGAAAACAAGTATTCATTGAAAACAGCATACTTTTCAAATGTCAAACAAACTATATCCCTTCTCTTTTTTTTGAATGGTTTCCAATGGAAACGCCAATAACATTTAAATTTCTAGAGTAAAACCAAAGCTATAGATATTTTAGTCTGGATTGTATGAAATTCTACATCTATCAATTATAATTAATTTTAATGAGTGTTATTCAACAAATCTACTAATCTGTAGAAACAAAATCTAGTACACTTATTACTTCATTCTTGAACATTATAAATTTCAAAATGTTACATGTAGCGTAGTTGTAGGTATACATATATATACAAATATTGAACCCATTGAATAATTTACATTTATGTGAAAGACAGTGTGTACTTTTGAAATTTAAAATCATAATTTTGTCTTTTAAAAAAAATAGGCATAATTTTGCATTTTTACTAAAATCTGCTTCCTGAAATTTCGGCTTATTCTGTCTTAAGGATAAATCGATTGTGTGCAGACGCTACGCCGGCACATTCAAACAAACTGAGATGTAGGAAAGATAAGCCGACGAATATACGCTAAAATCTCCATGTGAAATTGAACAGATTATTTTCAAATATTAACTTCCAAAAATCACATCTTTTCTTCATGATATTTACATATTTACATAACTGATCATTTTCAATAAGATTGACATCATACTTGTCTTTAGTTGACTTTTGCCAATTAGATATAACACCGCTACGTGCAAATTCATGCATAGCTGAATTGAGCATATCACTGATTCTTCTTAGACGAATTAACTCTTGTTCATTTTTTAAGTGGTCACGTGATTGCACTAAGCTTGGATCAGTAAAATCACTGTGTGTTTCATAGGTGCGTAGATATAGCATAGCATCCCATCCATGAAAAGCGTATGGTACAAATCCCCACAGTGAATATGGATCAAAGCTTCTGTGTGTACCGGTTAAATAATATTGATAAATTGGAGTGAGAGAGTTTGTAAACTGATTGACTAACTCAGTCAGTGGGCAAGTTACCCGACTGTCAGTTATCAAAGACATCAGACTGGAGAACCAATCATCATCATCGTCATTATTAACAGCATCATCTGTGTCTTGGAAGTCATCCACATCTAATAGGTTACCCAAACGCGCGCAGTTTAAATTGTATAAAGACTTCGATAAAAGCTCCTCATAGTACTGATTTGATGGGTTAAAAGTATTACGTTTTAATCTTTTTAAAATGTAGTTTTTGTAAAACACTTTATTCCAAAATGGTACTGTTTTCGGTGTCGGATAAACTGAAACCTCATGTGATGTCTGTCCAATAACCATTGGTTTAACATTACTTTCAATAATTTTATTCCACAAATCAGTGCTTACAAATTTATCGTCATTAATTAAAATATTTATGAATTTATCTGTCTGAGGCATATTAAAGTCGTGTATAGAAGGTAGACTGAGTATTGTTTTAATTAACCATGGTTCAACAATTGTCCAATTCCATAAATTTAAAATATTCTGCGAGTTTTGAAATTTTCGACTTGAACAGGAGTTTGGATTAAATTCTTTCTGACAATTTAATGCCTGATTTGTTTTATGTATTACTTCATCTGTAGTAATATTTGATAAACTCAATCCTGGTGCTGTAATCCATAATTTGTCGAACAGATGATTACTCATTGGACTGTAGAGTAAAGTTAAAGCACATGTTGCACCAGATCCATAACCAAATAAGATCACATTCAATGGATCCCCGCCGAAATGAACGATATTATTACGTATCCATTTTAGGACTAATAATTGATCATGTAATCCAATATTTGGTGTTTTTTCATTTGGATGTGGTAAAAACCCAAATGGACCTATACGATGATTGAATGTAACATGTATTGCATCTGTTTTGTACACTGTATCTGTGCCTGGTTGTTTCGGTTCATTATTGTACATAAAAAATAATCCATCTAAAATAACAATTACTGGTTTAAGATTCTGTGTTGCTTTCCTACTAGTAATCGGAACATGTACATTCAAATACAGACAATTTTCACTTCCTATAAATTCATTTTGCTTAGATTTTGGTTGAAGTTGTAAACATGGTGGTTTATAATGTTGTGTTTGATAAACTGTATTTACCACTGTAGTATTACTCAAATCCCAGGCTTTTTGACACAATTCTTTTGATGACAGCTGAAGAGGAGGCTTGAATCGATTTTCATCAATCGGGGGTAGAGCATAAGGTATCCCAAGAAAGCTCATAACATATTCATTCTGTTGAACACCTTTAATTTGTCCACAGAATATACTGACAACATCTAAGTACGATTTATTATTCCATACACCATAGTATGACAGGGCATAAGCAAGCGCAATTAATGCTGTTATAATTAAAGCTATAGTTGTTATTATATTAAATAGACATGCTTTTGAAGCAGTACGTCGGAATCTACTCACCCTTAAGTTGTTCACGGATGGTGTACGTACGTAAACATTTTCATTCCAATTAGTTGCTTCATCATAATTATCTACTTCAGATCTCATATTCACTAGTAATTACTTTTTGTTTATTATGTAAATGTGAAAGTTATCAGTCTTTACTAGGTAAAGTAATTTAAACACATTTATTGTAACAATAATAATAATAATATTGGGACCTATTTTTAACAAATAATAATTCAAATGTCCAATTAAAAATAATGATAAAAATAACCAACCAATCACAACAAAACTGGGCAAATTTAACCAATCATATCCATGCTTTAAATAAGGAGGTTTTGATCATTCTTAGTTAGGTGAGTTGATTATTCCATTACTAAAAGAAGTGTTTCATGAAGCTAAGTAATGTAAAACACTGAAAAACGAAAGAAATCGGCTAAACTCTGATTTCGGAAACAAGTATAGGAAAAATTTCTGCGGAAAATCATGTTTAGTTGAACTCTACCGAAATACGAATAACCTGAAATGAGATTCTGCTCCCCAGAATGAATTTATATTTCTGAAGTAGACCTTTTCAGATTATATTAATATGTGAAAGGTCGAAAACAATATTTCCATATTAATTTGTTTATTGGACAGATCACATAGTAAGACTGGATGAAGTTCCGAACACAATTTAACGTTCATAACCATGTAACAATAGATATGATTTTGAACAATGAATTGTGCTCGAAACGTTATCCAGTAAATAATACTGCTTCGGTATCCAATAAAAAAAATTAATATAGAATATTAAACTATACGGATCAGAGGCTTGGCCAGCGCGTCATAAAGAGCATCTCAAACAAACTACAGACCTTCATTAACAGTTGTCTTCGCTCAATACTCAAGATCAGATGGCTGGCCAGAAAAGATCAGCAACAGGGATCTCTGGGAGCGAACCAACCAGGAACAGATTGTGCAACAAATAGGCAGGAAGAAATGGAAATGGATTGGCCATACTCTAAGGAAGCCATCAAGCGGCATCACTAGACAAGCCATTGCTCGAGTGGAACCCGAAAGGGAAGCGGCGAGTTGGTCATCAGTGCGAGGGTGACTTGGAGGAGGTCATGTGAAGAGGAGATGAAAACGTGTGGGCAAACTTGGAGCCAGGTAAAAACTCTAGCAGAGAACCGAACGCAATGGAGACGCACGGCTGAAGCCTTGTGTTCCTCTAGGAATTAAAGGAAATAATAATACCACACTGTCGAAGTTTTTATGCCGGGAAATAATATGACTGAAATAACGTCATGAAAAGCATTTAGTGTAGTCCAGCTCCATGCCGTGTAAACTATAATCCATTTCGATCTAATTCTAGCTGCCATAGTCCTCTGAATTGCCAACAAGTTGGCAGAAAATTCAGGTACCCAAGACAGGATTTCAAATGAACATAAAGATGGAGGTGATGAAGATAACCAACCAATAACAAGCACCGATTATTATCAGCTGAAGAAATTTGAAACAGGTCATTTCCTTAATTTATCTGGGCAGTATCATTTCAACTACATGTGGCAGAATGGATGAAGATGCTGAAGGCAGGAATGGAAAAGAAAGACAGACTTTCATCACTCTGAAATCAGTGTGGAAATCTGCTGCATTAAGCATGAGGAATAACATTCAGATTTCCATTACTAATATCAAGTCAATTATTCTATATGGATCAGAAGTTGGACCTTCACGAAAAGCATTTCCAACAGCCAGTTTCAGACTGTTATCAACAACTGCCTTCTCTGGCTTTATAATGAAGATCAGATTACTAGCAAGAAGGGACAAGCAACGTGGAACTGCTGCAAGTAATCAACAAATATTTTGAGATAAATGGAGATGGATGGGACACAAGCTCAGGAGGCCATCAGGTGACACCGCGCACCAAGCCATCGCCCGAGTGGAACTCGAATGGAAAATGACGAGTAGAGCATAAGTCCAAGGGTGATATGGAGGAGATCGTGTGAGAAGGAGACTAAAGCTTATGAGTAATCGTAAGGCCAGTTAAAGAGGACTCTAGAGAACTGGACAAAGTGGAGATGTGCTTTTGAAGCCCTATGTTCCATCCGGAACCCCAGGGAATGATAGTCATTTGCAACTTGTGGATACTTAATAGTCCTTTTGCATAATTTGGGCGTTAAAAGTAGTTACAGAATCGTTACATGGTGCCTAAGTCCAAAATAGCTAAAATTATTTTCACTGGTAAATGAAATTGTAAAACCAATGAAACAGTTTCTAACAACTACGAGCTTCTAGTCCATATAAGATTCAATTGTTTGAAATTCGTCTCACTGTTCACTAATCCTCTCTAGCACTTCAGTAATGCTATCGAATAGTCAATTAGAATGAAAAGCAGTGACAAATGTGACCAAATCGGGTGTGAGGACACATAGTTACAAATGATACTGAAGGATAATGCCAATAAATTGTAAAATCATAGAATTTTTATTGCATAAGCCATCCTGAATGTTAGTCAGATCACAGTATGTGTTTGGTGACTGTTTAAATCCAATGAATGTGACAAGGAATGTTAGATATCTATAAAACACAAAATGATTGAGCAAAGAATATCCTTTTCGATAAATTCCTCTTCTGGCTCTACAATTATACATGCATGTTTATATACATATAATATTCTAGATTAGTAGTCAATAACAATATTAGTGTCTTTAAATAATATCAATTTGTAAAGTAAGATCAACGCAATTACAATTCATTAAAGATGCTTAAATTATAATAATATTAACAAAGATATAGGAGCAAATACAACATCAACTAAAATTATGAAAATTCCACAAATTTCAGGATCATTCAATCCTAGATGGTCAAGGTAAGGACAATGTCTGAACTACTTTCTTTTGGACGCATAAATAAGGCTTCTTAATGTGGATCCCAACAGCCTCAGCAATATTTAGTAAACGAACTCTTAAGGTGAAGATAAGATTTGTTGGTATGTGGTAAATGACTTTGAAAGCTTCGTTGACATCAATTTTGTGTTCTGTATCCACAAGATGAGATAGAATAGCTCTGTGAATAGATTTTGTTTTTCCCTTGCTTAACCACACAGGGTGATTTTCGGAAATTCGACGAGAAACATGCCTAATTGTACGGCCTATGTAACTGGCTCTACAGAATGTTATTAATGAACTTGAATTCTATTGTCGGTACATGGATGATACATTTTTGATTATGAAAAATGAGAAGGGAGTAAAGAAAATCCTGGATAAATTTAACGAGGTTCATCCTGCAATAAATTTTACTATTCAGAAAGAAAAAGAGTCTAGTATTTCATTTCTAGACGTCCCTGTGACCAGAAAAGAGTATGGCGCAATAAGAAGTGTATATAAAAACCTACATCAACGGGTCAGTGTACTCATTTTTTCAGCTTGAAATACAAACGCAGTCTGATAAAGTGTTTGGTTTACAGAAGAAGAGTGATCTGCTCGGATGAATATTATTATATTATTATTGTTAAACGGTTGCTGAGTGAAAGTGGTTATCCAGAAAAGTTTATTGATAAGAATATGAATCTAAAATCAAAGCACCCCAAGGTACCAACAGTTCCTGAAAAGGCGTTATTCTTGTGCAATACAACATCAGCGAGATACTAACACAGCGCCTTAGAAATGCGGTAAAAAGAGCATTCCCTGCTGCCGAATTACATTATATCTTCAAACAACTCCTCTTTTGCGTTCGGGAGTAAAAGATAAACTGCCTAATTTCGCCTCTTCCATGTGTATCTATCAATTTAACTGCTCCTGTGGAGTCAGTTACATAGGCCGTACAATTAGGCATGTTTCTCGTCGAATTTCCGAAAATCACCCTGTGTGGTTAAGCAAGGGAAAAACAAAATCTATTCACAGAGCTATTCTATCTCATCTTGTGGATACAGAACACAAAATTGATGTCAACGAAACTTTCAAAGTCATTTACCACATACCAACAAATCTTATCTTCACCTTAAGAGTTCGTTTACTAAATATTGTTGAGGCTGTTGGGATCCACATTAAGAAGCCTTATTTATGCGTCCAAAAGAAAGTAGTTCAGACATTGTCCTTACCTTGACCATCTAGGATTGAATGATCCTGAAATTTGTGGAATTTTCATAATTTTAGTTGATGTTGTATTTGCTCCTATATCTTTGTTAATATTATTATAATTTAAGCATCTTTAATGAATTGTAATTGCGTTGATCTTACTTTACAAATTGATATTATTTAAAGACACTAATATTGTTATTGACTACTAATCTAGAATATTCCATGTATGTAAATATATATATATAATTGTAGAGCCAGAAGAGGAATTTATCGGAAAAGATATTCTTTGCTCAATTATTTTCTGTTTTATTGATATCTGAATGAATGTTTTATATGATGGAGAAGATTTGTGGCTCAGGTGGATGATTTTGTTGTAGTTGTGTTGTCTGAGCTGTATAGTTAATTTGTGCAAATTAACAATCTAGCTCAGAGAAAACAACAACATCAAAAACAAGCAGTGTTAGACAACAAGCTTCGTTGATGATTACCGAGGAACATGCTTAGAAATATATGTGCAAACATTTGTAAATACACTATCACTCACCACTGAATATTTGTTGGGTCAACCTTAGGACTGGTCCAATTTTGTAAACTCAGTATTCGCAAGCCAACTGATCCCTCACTAGGGAATACATTTCATATAACCTTTTGACGATTTTATTGATAATCCGTAGCTGGTGAAATATAACTGGCTGCAGTGAAGACAATTAATGCACCGAGGACAGTGTGTTACGACAGGACAGCACAACGAATTGATAGGACTTAGCATTCAAGAGTCAGTAGATAATTACTGGCTGGATAATAGACAGCTTAGCCAACGTGTTAGTGAACATCTCCCATCGTGGTTTGGCAAAGAACAGACAAAAACAGTTCGTAGCTCAATTTTGTCACACTTAATTGATAGTGGTCATGTAACCGAGAAAACGAGAGCCTTCAAAGTGATTCATCGTATCCCACCGAAACTTTCCAATAGACTTCGTATTCGTCTACTACACACAGCTGAGACGATAGGCTTTCGAACTATTAAACCTAAACTATGTATTCAAAAAAGTTCGTACAGCCATTATCCCTCCCTTGGCCTATTAAGACATAACCAACTAATCACTTCTACACCACCCTTTGTTTATAATTTCAACCCCTTTCTTATCATCCCT